GGAGAGATTTTTGCTATAGGGCACGTGCGCTCGCCAGACAGACAGAGACATAGAAACAGAAAGCGAGAAATCACTCCCTAGTGGGGATGGTTACGCCACAATCTCTTCTCCTCCATTCTCCTCTTGGGATCTTGGGCACGCACGCACACGCACCTGGCGTGAGTTTTAAGCCACCGGGTCCAGGACACGAACCGCGGTTGACTACGTGGGAGTCCAGCGACATAGCCATTATGCTAACTGCTGGTTCCCTGTACAATTTTCTATTACAAAGAATAGCCAGATTTATGAACTTGCCAAGAAGAGGAATGGTTCTTATTGATGAAATCTTCCAAGCTTTATACATGGCTAACTCTACCTGATACTTGAAAGTGTAGGCCTTACTGGCAGAATCCTTTTAACATTTTCCATTCTTTGAGTGTGTTTTTCTTTGGCATTCGAATGCTTTTATTTTCTTCATAAAATAGTCCCAGTTAGGGGGGACAGGAGTCCTTTTCCACAGCTGAAGGTATTCCAAGCTACCCTCACCTGAAGAATCAGCTTTGTGTTCCTGAAGGTTTCAATGGGCACATCCACTGTTCTTTTTCCATGCAGAAAGTTGGGACAGGTTTTCATCTAGTCATTGATTTAGGGCTTTGTAAAAATCTGCAGGGAATTAGCAAATAGTGCTATCTTATTCACACAAGATTTTGTCTGGAAATTTCTAAGCACAATGAAGTAAGAGGATAAAAAAATATTAGAGGTTAGCATTTTGGATGAATATGCCAAGAAGCTGGGGTCCAGTGGATCAGTGTCAGAATATGGCACGTCTTTCAATGAACTCAAGAAATGATTTTAAGCACTGGCAATTGTTACTGTGTCTTCTGAATTTAGGATTAAATGGCAGTTTCTTTTCCTGAACTTTGAAATCCGGTTTTCAGGATTTGGGTATTTATTTTTCCTCTGATTACACTTAAAAAACTTTTGGCTTAAGAAGCTTTACTGATAGCTGGTGTCCTACCTAATTCACTCTAAGGCTTCAGGAATAAGCTTGCAGTTGATTCATGGGTGTGGTAGTGTTTCAAGAGCATAGCAAAAGCGTTCTCTTCTTATTTTCTTTTCTCTTCTGGAAAACCTGCTGTTACTTTTAACAGGTACATTGTCATTGTTTGCCATTATATACCTTATTGTTCAGCTAAAGTTTTTATTTTTCAATTTCTCTTTATGTGAAAGTGTACTCCCTTCCCTTTTGATTGATTAGAACATACTGGATTAAATATTTGAATCCAATTTTAAGTCAAGAATAGACTGAAACTATTGTAAGAAGATTTTTCACTAAATTCAATTTCAGTTATTCAACCACTGTGTGAGTACCTGCTAAACATAAGGCAGTGCATTTAGGTGCTATGGGAGACAGAAAGAGGAGTTAGACATAAAATTGGTTAGAATGAAGCTGTATTATTACCTTCCACCATTAAAGGAAATAAACACAGAAATCAGAAACACAAGGAACAGGTTTTTCTGCAGCAACCAAACAAGGAAAGGTGCCTGAACTAATGCCATTTTGGAGAGATGGGGAAGGCTGGCAGCTGAAGGAAAAGCCTGAGGCTTTGGGCTTACTTTCCATTCTGCCTGCTTTCCTGCAGAAACCGTGTGCACAAGTAGGCAAATCATGAGGTTTTTCGTTGAGGATCCAAATCTGCAGCAAAGTGAAATGGATGTACTCTTAAGTTTCCCTTCACTTGTCTGAGGGTCAGTGGAAATAACTTCTGGCAAGAGAGAGAAGAAGCTAGAAAAGTGAGTAATTATAGCTGATAACCTGATATGGTGAAGGGAAAGGCCCAGGGCTCCTTGCTGAACTGAGGGGGACAAACTGAAACCTGAAGTTCTTCCCAGGTCATTGGTATACCCCCAAGACTTAGGAGAATACACTGTTACAGGAATTTAAAACGTTGATTATTTTGGTATTTCCTTCATATTTCCAAATAACATAGGTTTTCAAAGTTTGTTTATTGATTTATTTTTTTCATGAGTGAGACAGACACAGAGAGAGACAGAGAAACAGCACCACAGGAGAGTCTTAATGGCACTCTCCACCCCTAGTTTCAGTCAGCTATGGGTCACAGGCACGTTGGAGGAGGTCTCCAAATGAGAATCCAGGACCTTCCCATGTGGGTCAGTCTTGCAAAGCATTATGTTTTATCGCTGTGCTGCTTATCTGGCCTCAAGATAATTGATTTGTATAATGTCTTGTTTTTTTAGTTTTTCTCATCATCTGCTGTCTTCCTTCTCTCCCTAACTTTGTCCTTCTCTACTCTTCTGGTAAAGTTATGTTATAGTTTTGGTTGTATTAATATTTAATGTTTCTATTATTATGATGGCTATGTAAACCATATAGTATATTAATTACATTTTGACTTGAACAGGTTTTCATTTGCTTTGGAGTGAAGAATCGACTTGTTTCTTTTCAATGTACTTGCCCCTGATTCAACCATCGATTCCCTCAAATTTCTAAAGTTCTTCTTACAAAATTCTGGCACATCAGATATTCTGTCAGTTTTAGCAGAGATCTAAACTGATCGTCCTCAGTGCCTGGCACATAGTTTTTATTATGAGATTGCCCCACACTGTCATCTAAGAATTCCTATCCTCCTTCTTTCATGTTAGATTAATTTTATCTTATATCCTGTATCTTTCTCTTTCTTGGTGTTCTATCTTGTTTTGGTGGAGTGGATCCTTTCGTTGTATGGAGCTCAGTTTGAGCTCCTGAATGTCCAAACATATCATTAATAGTACTGTCATACAAACTGCTAGTTTGGGTATACAGTTCTCAGATGGAAATAAGTTTTCTTCAGAATTTTTTTTTTTACTGTCTTTTTTTTTTCCATTTCATTTTCTTTTATACATTCAATCACATTATTATTTGGCTTACAAAATGGATATTTCAACAGGTGAGCATTCTCCCTAGTATAGTTGGTAAAACTACAAAATATCTTATTGCTTGTGTAGTCTGCTTTTGCTAATAAAGGGTTCTTTTTAACACATACTTCATTCTGGTACAGTTGCTTGGCCTTTCCTTTAAAAGCATGCATGGATGGGACCAGCAGTTTAGTGTAATGGCTATGTCGCTAGACTCCCACGTAGGCGACCATGGTTCGAGTCCTGGACTCAGTGGCTTAAACTCCCGCCGGGGGGGCGGTGG